TGGCTCATTCCTGTTGACTTCTCCCGCTGGCAACCCCTGATTTTCTCCTGGCATCGGGAGGATTTGGGGTTTATGTCCTCTCCAGATCTGGGAGCGCTTTCGCCTGGTCCTCAGCGAGTGCAGCCCCGGGGTTTAAGGTATCCTGGTCAACAGGAGAGGAGGTTTAGCGGGCAGTCGAGGAGGGCAGCCTGTTTTCTAAGGTGCCCTGAATCGCAAGAGCCCCTCTGAAACGCCATCGCCCAGGAGCTGTGGGAACCTGACCGCTTGCTTGGGCGACTGAAGAGGGATCTGTACAGAGAAAGGGAGATCTAGAAGGGCAGAGGGATCATAAGACCAGGATGGATGAGCTGAGCAGAGGATACCGTCAGAAAAGGGATATTACAGTTCTAAGAAATGTCGGGAAAGATGTTTCCATCAGGAATAAGGAAGGATTCGCGGCTGGAGCACCAGGTGCTGGTGTGACCTTGCTGGGACACCGTGGTCGCTTCTGGCCGGGGATAATAAATTCAGGAGGCTATTTTATGAGCTGAGCCTGCAGAGCTTGGCTGGCAAAGTTTAGCAAAACAAGGCTGAAAGAGGGTACAACTCCTGCCTGCAAACGCAGGGAAGGGGAGGTATAAGCCAAGGAGAGAGGAAAGCTGTTAAACTCAAGAGCAGCATCAGCACAAGGACAAGGTGGAGCCACTATCCAGCAATAACTGGGGTTGGGGATCAGGAGAGCCCGGCCTTTGGAGGGAGGAGGTTTCGGAACAAAGGAGCAAACCACCATTTTGACACGTACCTGGTGATGTTCGTGCATGGGGGCAGCAGCCTGTGGCATCCTACGTCCTCTGAAAGTGCCTTATAAGACAAAACACGCCAATAAAATATAATTACCCCTGATTGGGGAGCAGCTCTATTCGCAGCACGGGGTTGGGGAGTCCAGCCGTGGGTTGACCCTAACAATTTCCCACCCATGGGACTACAGAAATGCATCCCTTTGCCCGCTCGTCCCCGTTGTCTCTGGGGTACCGTCGTGGATACAGTGACGAAGAAGCTCCCATGAGGTTTATTTTCTTAACCCACTATCCTTTTTTAAAAGTTAAATTATGATGGTTATGCTGCTATGATTAATTAAAGGCTCCTTCCTACCTGGCAATATCTCGAAGCCTTTGGCATTACTTGAAATTCTGATTATTCAACTCAAACCCAGTGATGGCAACAAAACGACAAAAAGGAAAGGGCGGGGGGGAAAGCCGGGGCAGGCTGCCGCCTTAATGAGCTGAAACACAGGACCCGGCTGTACGGGCGCCAAGGGAAGTCATCGAAAATGAATGTCACACCTGGTTATAAATAGGGTGGCATGCGTCGCTGTGCCCGTTAACGTAGTGACACGTCCCACGGCGATGGGTTAACCCTTTCCCTTGCCCTCCCGTGGGGTAAACACGGGCAGCCCCTGCCCAGCCCACAGCAGCAGCAGCATCTCCCAGCTTCATCAGCGGAGGGAAATCACCAATATACGGAAAATAAAGCACAGCTGCTACTCAACATCGGGCTGTGCTTTCACCTAGGACATCAAGAGCCTGTTGGACCCAAGCGAAGAGATCCAAACTACCTCGTAATGAGCCCACGCTTATTCCGATGAGACCGCTCCGAAATCTATGTTGCCACATACCAAATTTCAGCCATCCTGGGTTTTGGAGGACAACATCGCACCTAGAGAGAGGGCACTGAGTTCCCACTATCTATGGTTATTATATAATTAAGCAAAAGAGCCAGCATCCCCTCTGTTTGAGCCCTGTTTAGGGTGTAGGTCCTCCTAGTAAGCAGCAGAATTATCTATATGTATGCGCATACAGAGAGGAGGTAGGTGCTCATAAGCAGTCTGCAAAACAGAGACAATTAAAAATTTCTGGGGAATAAGTTTTGGTCCCCGAGTTTTGTCTACTCTGTCACATAATGTTTTGGTTTAGCATCTTCTAACTGAGTTAACCACTTATTTACAGCCAAATAAGCCATCGAAAAGGGAGATATTAAGTACTGCTCTCAGGACGGAGATGAAAAAAAATATATCCTGAGAAAAGTGCAAATAGAGACATGTACAAAAATATCAGAGGCAGGAAATCCTTTATTGAAGGGGTAAAGGCAGAGTCACAGACTGTTTTCAAAGTTAAAAACAAATACAAACAAAAGGCTAAAACCCAGAAAATTATATTCCGCCCTCCCCCCCCCCTCCGTTAAGATGAAAGTCCAAAGCTTAGTTTGGGTTGGATTTGTCATGCTTACACAGCTCGGTTGGCAATCGCACCCCGATTTGGGTGCACCAGGGAGGAGAGAGACACCAGTCATATACCAAAGTGGTTAAACGATGAGCAGAGACATCCCCTCTCCGACCTCAACGCAGGTTTCGGAGTGGGGGTGTGGGAGCAGCATGTTAAAACACAGACAGTCTTCTTTTTTTTTTTTTTTTTTCCATTTCTTTTTTCCTTTTTTTTTTCCCTCTCCTTTCCAGACAGCTACTGTACAAAACCAAACAGAAATTTGTAATAAATACCTAACACAGGAGGCTCAGTACATTGCTACAATCCTTCACTGAAGGGAAACATATATATACATATATATATCCTAATATATAACCTCTTTGACTTAAATCAGCGTAAAGGCTACGTGTTTCTACGGGAAGGCTAGGGCAGGAATCCCACTTGCCGTCACCCAGACCCCACACCTCAACCGAGCATTGCCGCCTGCGGTCCCCCTGCTCCCAGCAGGGTCCCCACCCTCCTCCTTGCTGGAAAAGCAGCAGGATTTGCCCGCAGCAGGGAGGTTTTGCATCTAGGAAGGGAGGTTTTTGCATCTAGGAAGGGAGGTTTTTGCATCTAGGAAGCTCCAGCGAAGCAACCGAGCAGTGAACATAAAGAACTGGAAGAGACCCTTGGCATGCACGAGTCCTGTGTGATAAATACAGACGTTTTCCTTGGCCCTGTCTCAGGTTGAAATTTCTGACCTATCCTAAATGTGGTTACGATGCTGGAGAGGAAACACGCGCTGGCCTTTGAGTTAAAACCCTCACAGACTCACAGGGGGAAAAGAAAATAACCCTGCAAGGCTACATGACTTTAGCATCCAGCTATTTGTTAGAGCAAGAGAGGGCTTAAATTCCTGGAGATTAATTAGCAGACGCAGAACATTGCCTGAAGGTAGGTCTGAACAAACAGCTCTGCATCCAAACTCTGCAGCTGGCCTTTATGGTTTTTTTCTTTCCTAAAAAAAGAGGAACCAAGCCCTCAGTACCCTCAGTTCTTGGCCGTAGCCCCCCCGGTTTAAAAAAAAACTATGGAAGATAAAAGCTGAATATCTCAGGTTTTCAAATAAATGTTAGGGGTTCTGGCACAGCTTTGGGGGAGTAGCTCACCCCACAGTCCCACCCCGAACCGACTGGCCAGCAAAAAAAGGGTTTCACACGAGCTTAGCTCAGGCAAAAGAGACAAGAAAAAGGATTTGCTCCGCAATTGCAAATGGGGGAGCTCAGACGTAGCAGACTCAAGTCCTCCTCCTCCGGCCCTTCTCCCCCTCCTATGAGCAAAAGGCTGTTCCCACTGGAAATGCGACGTTTTGCTGTGAAAAGGGGAGCCAAGGCAGGGTACAGGCATCAACAGAGGAGCCTGGACATACTGAATCACTCATCCAGTGATGGCAAAACCTTCCCAAACTCCATCCCCGCTCCCCAGGCACTGGCTGCTGCCAACACACGGATGGTGAGCGCTTCCAAACGGGAAAAGTTCAGGGACTGAGCAGCCATCTGCACCGGGGCTAGACAGCGGCTGGGCTGGGGAGAGGGGGCTTGGTTGTTCCCAGCCGGGAAGGAAGAGCTCCAGCCTTGCCAGGCTCAGTTTTAGACTGAGAATTTCTCAAGCAAGGCTGGAGCCCGGTGCTGGGTCCGAGCATCCTCACATATCCCGGGAAAGCAGAGGTGAGGAGAGGCCCCGGTCACTGTGGCGGGCTGCAGAGGGGCTGCAGATCCTGGGCTCATCCCCGCTGCAAGCCAAATTATCTCCAAAATTAAAGCAGAGCTGAGAAAGTGAGCCCACAGGACGGGAGAGGAAACACTGGCACATCCAAGAGTCCGCTCCAGAGGGGGGACGGGGTATCGCAGTAGGCTTTTCACAGTCAAAGCGCGGCAGAATCAGTAATTAATTAATCCTGACAGTGGCCCTGCAAGCCAGATCAGGTGTAATTAAACCTTGGGTTTATAGCTGGGGAAATGGAGGCATGGCGTTGCGGCTCTAGGAATAACTCTGCAGATGCTGGGGGTGTTTGGAGGCAGAGGTTTGATCACCTTGTGGATTATAAATCCGGCAGAAACTGCTGTGACCGTCTCGCCTCTCCTCCTGCCTGACACGTGCCAGGAACCGGCCCTCAGCTCGTTCCCACTCCCGGCCAAACAAGCGAGTTATCTCCCCAGCTAAACCCACAGCTGATAAAACGCTCCACATGCTCCAGGACACCCACGCCGCTGTAGGGAGGGGATGGCAACCCAGTCCAAGCCTTTTGCAAAGGGATCGTGATTTTATCGGCAAAACCTCCCACCCTGGACCTCCTCGACCTGCAGCTGGGACGAGGTGATGGCAAAGCCAGGCTCCGCGTTTTTTTCCAGCAACAAACGCCAGCGAACCTGACAAACGGAGTCTGCAACGACGCTTAACGACAGCTCTTTGGAAACACCCTACGGATACGCTTATTTTTCCCCTTAAATTACAACTTGCCTGCGAGCAGCCACCCAGAAAGAAAAGAAGAAAGAAAGGAAAAGAAGTGATTCCTCCCCGTTTTGCCGCGTTTATTCCCCCCTCTGAGGTAGACGTCAATGGGGTGGGGATGAACCGCTGGAGAGTGGTTATTTGTCTGGCGAGCAAGACGGCGGCATCCTC